AAACAAAAATCAGTTAAACAAAATATTATGTCCTTTAGAATCGTCCTTCATCTTTAGACATTGTCGCAAATTATCAGCAATTTTCGTGAGATTTCCTTTTAGATATTTTCATCGAATCTGAACATACTCATATTTGTGATAGTAATTAAGATTTTGACAGGTTATATGGCCATTTATAACCCAAGCCACTAGGCGATGGTTATATTGTAAACAACCGTTTATATACCGCCATATAACCTGTCAAGACCCGTTATTACGCATTAATGATAAGTGAACTTTTTTATGAGAGATTTTTTTATACTAGAGAAAAAGTGTTAAATTACGCTGCCGTGTATATTATTAGTTATAAAGATCGTTGACAGGTTATATGGCCCTTTATAAACGGCTATTTGTAAATACATGTATAACCCGAGCCGTTAAGCGAGGGTTATATTGCAAACGGCCATATGACCTGTCAACGATCTTTATAACGAATTTATAATACAGCAAGCATCATTTTTAGAGAAAAAAGTTAGATTTCTTCATGGATCGACATCAGCCGTGTATATAAAACTATATAAATGTCAGGATTATCCAATGAAAAATGACGTTACAGACGTGCAGTATTATAAAGTTTATATATACGAGTAAACGTAACGATTATCCAATGAAAAGCGACGTTACAAGCGTGCAGTATTACGCACGGAAATATTATCTCTCAGATGCCTTTACCCAATTTGTAATGCCCGAAAATTCCTATTTTGTGTAGCATTATTAAATGTGAATATAAAGTGTTTAATTTGATGCAGCCATGAATATAAATAATATAAAAACACGGCTGTCCAATAAAAATGAACGCTAGAAACGTGTAGTATTATAAACATGTATATCATTTCACTACATGTACATATCTCATTCAAACATTATAAATCTAGTATCAAATTTTACAGCTTTAAAGTTACCTCAAACGTATTTTGCAATTAACTTAAAAATTTGAAAATATGCACCAACCAATCTTTGTTAGATCTTTAATATTTCTTGAATAAGCCATATCTTGACGTCATATAGTTTTGTGACGTCATGTATCATTTGAGCCTATACACATATAATTATTATGAACAATGCTTATAATGTTTTAAAGTAGACCTAATTGTATAAACATTAAAAAATAATTTGAAGGAAAGTTTGTTTTATGATTTACCTTTGTATATCATATTCTTTATTATATAATTCATTAATTGTATGTAAGATATAAATAAAATAAACTTTGAATAATCTCTCTTTTGTGCTTTCAGTTGAAATCTACCTCTATGTGAAATTCCTGCGCCGAATTTCTTATCTCTTTTACTCCAACACGAATCTACCACGTGTCGTCCAGCGCAATATTTCATCTAGAGAAAAAAAATCACTCTATCCAACAAAAAAAAAGAATTTTCCGATTACCATTTTTGTCGAAAAAACGTGGCCTGTAAACTGTCATTGTAACCACTAACGCACGATATCCCTTAATTTTCTTTTTAACAAGAAAAGACGAATTGTGCTTATTTAAATGAAGTGATAAAATTTGTTGATACATTTAAATGTCATTTTTTACATAACCATTAAAAGACCGATGAAATCCTAAAAGTAAAATAGGAAAATACATTACATGTTATGTTAAATTTTATGTGGATCTAGCCCATTTATCTGCCACACTAAAATATTTTAATAAGATATAATAAGTAAAAGTTTCTAGCTCTTTCTCTTGGTAAAGCAACAATATCACGTGGGAGGAACTGTTACACGGGTATGGAGTTATGATAACTTGTCAGGAGTTCTTGGAAATCTTTTGTGTATACTACAGAAACACTCGTCAAAATGGTAATTTTCATCTTTAAAAAGCTAAATAAAGCTTGTCTTACATCTAGTATTATGTGGTGATTTCTACCAGCTTAAATTGCAAAGTGTTAATACAGTGTTTCTTGATTAATTAGGTAAGTCAATCTTTTTCTTGTAGATGTCAACAATATATGAAGCTATAGGATTTCACAATATCACTTAAATTTTATTAAAAGATCTGTTGTCAGTATATTTTAGAATTATACTAGAATGTCAGATCCTTATAGTATGTTTCTTTTTATTTTTAATTTACTACAATTAAGAAGTAGGTGATCAGTCACTGAATCAATGAAACAGTGCGAGGTACTCGTATGTTTCTAAATATCAATGGAAAACATCAATAATCGTTTAACACTCATGGACACTGAGAGAACCAGAAAAATCCATTTTTTTTTTCATCTTCTCCTTCTTTTTTTTTTTTTTTGTTTTTTTTTTTTTTTGTTTTCTTTTTTGTTGTTGTTTTTTTGTTTTGTTTTTTATGCCTTTCGGTATTTTTCATACATATAGGTTTCCGTTTCTCGTTTTTTTTGGACAAAAACTTTATAAAATATCAGTTATAACTTTCTAAAATTTATATTTGAATAAGGTTTCCTACTAGATAATTAATGCAATTTTGAAAAGCTGTAAAAAATGTGGCAAAATGTTTGATTAAAGGAATCCAAGAATTTAACAACAAAGTTAGTTTCCGAAGTTCAAATGATAAACTAAAATTGATCGTATTTTCCTAAAATTAATATGGTACATATTCAAAATGTAAAAAGATGCTGATTTGAACAGCAAGTTTAGGTAAACATTAGATTTAACATGTGTACATTTAAAATCATATAAACATTTTTCACCATCATAATATCAATACTATACGTTGTATCCATTATACATGAATGTATAAAACTTGATTTTTTTTTTTGTTTTTGTTTTTTTGTAAAGTGTCATAAAACTTAATTAATGCTCCTGGCAAGTAAATCTTAACGCCATATTGCTACTTATAAAATTTAATTTGATTATGGCAAACTTTATTAAAAATGTCTAGCAAGTTGTTTTAGTTTTTGCCCATTCTTTAGCCATGCTGTGTTGTATAGAGAAAATGAAACACTGTTGCAACACTGTATTATGATTAAGAATATCCTTAGATAGTTTTATACTATTAAATATTTATATCAACAATTTAAACTTGTAGTTTAAATCCAATGACATTTTGCAAAATAAATAATACTACAATTATAAATGTTTTGTTGTCAAGCATTTGTCCATTAAATTATCTTCACTTCCCGATTAAATCGGAAGGGGAATATTGAAATGACGTTGCCTTTTCGTCCCTCCAGGCGACCATCTAATGGTCTATGATCTTCATTCCGTCCATAATTTTGGTTAAAAAAGGGGGAAATGGTTTATGAGGTAAATTTTATAGGTTTATAAGAAAAAGTGCCTAATAAAGATCAAAGAAAAAACACACAAACCAAAAATGTTGGCATGTCCGTCCGTTCGTCCGTCAATCCGTCCGCATAAAACATCGGTAAAGCAAAACAGTTGTTTTTTTTTTTTTTTTTTTTTTTGCGACGGACGCGCCCTCAGGCGCGTTCAGAGCTATGTCATCTACACATGGTATTTCGTCGGCTACAATCGCGCAATGTGTCCTCAAACCGAATAACAGCCCACGAAATAGTACATGAATTTGATTCTATGAAACTCCCATATTCGTCGGGATATCTTAAAACTTCCATATGTAGCCTTTTTTCAATTTCAACTTAAGTTATCCAAAGTTAAATATAAACGTATTTGATTGATAAAAAACGCTGTAGCCCCGTAGTATTATTGCGCAATTATGCAAATAACTGCTGAAAAACGATTTACCGCTGTCGAAAAAAGTAGGACAGCAAATTATGCTATAATTAAGGAGTAAGCTCAATAATTCATAGAAATTATAGCAGGAAATAAATATTCCCCATTAAAACAAAACATTTTTATTAACAGATCAAAAGTTTTTCGTGACTTTAGAATAACTCGCGCATTAATAAAAAGAAGAACTCTTTTCGTGACTCATACCGCGGGTTTAGCTGAATATCCAAGCAGCAGTTAATATTAATAAATTAGACTACAGTACAATGGTTAGTATTATAAATATCTATTTTTGAAAATGCCTGTAAAAAGGGAGTTTTTCAACACTTTACGACCATGTAGTCTTTCATGGTAATCTTTATTAAAGGAAGTTATAATATCAGTTCTACTTCCGATTCTTGTGTTTTGTTTACATAGTTTTTCTAGGTCACGATATGAGTTAACCTGCTATAGAAGATAACCCTATTCTAAAAATAGATTCTGCATTATCTCTGCAGACTTTCGGACGAGTACACATTATACATGTAAAAAACCAGCGGATATTTACTTTGTTTACATGCATTACTTTAAGAAATTCTATACAATTGTAAGAAGCAAACAAGTTGAGAATGGAATTTAGTGTGAAATTGAAAGGGACAACTAAACACTGTAGTGCTTAAGTGACGTAAATGAAAAAAAATACACCATTAATTGCTGATGATTTTAACCTAAAATATTTTTAATGAGACATATCCAAGAGAAATAAAAATACAAATGACTTATATTTTATTGTCTATATGCCCACTATGATATAACACGAAGCAATTCTAATTAACATTCTCACATGTATTATGATTGAAGTTTATTTGCATGGTTTCATTTTAGAAATAATTCGTTGACATTTTTTTTCTATTTACATATCATTTCTTGGAATAAATCGATAAGGACACTGATTTACAAGTTTGACCAGAGTTTTTAGGTGTATTTAAAAATTTGGACTTGTTCTGCTTGAAAGTAGAAAATCTGAATTATATCAGATTGGGACACTTAAAATATATTGCTCTACAAATCTCGAACTTGCCTGGAACAAATTTTCTCTGTTATATCTTTTGTGTTGTTTTATTTTTCTAAAAAAAACCTTAATGTCTCTCCGGTTGCATGTCCGTCGCATTCAGTGCTGCAGCACTTTGATTTTGTTTTTTTCACAATGTCCTTTAATTAAGTGAGGACTGTACATTAATGCAACTGTTACAGCCGTCGTACATTCCCTTTAACGTTTTTGTATCAACAGCTGATTTGGAGCCTACGCAGTTAATTTTAATATATAAGTTGTTATAATAAAGCAAACGTGTCAGTTTGTTGAATCAAGCACTGTAAAGAGGTATTTAATATTATACCAACAGAGTAATTTAAAGTTAAAATAGTTAGAAATATATAACTAAACATGGATCAAGGATTTTGTCTGTTAATTAAAATCGCGATAATTGTTGTGAGTATTCATGCGGTGATATGTCAGAAATGTGGTGTACAGAAAGAGGTGTCCTTTGCTAGAATACCGGCGATTAACACTCTGTTGTCTTTGGATGAGTTCGACACCCACGTAAGAATTTGTGTGTTTATTTTGATCAACCCTTGTAACGTATTCTCATGATATTTTTATACGTTAAATTTTACCTGTCTTTCTCGTGCATTAGTTTCATTTTTTTCTCTTTATTAATTTATTAGACAATATTGATGAGATAGATTTTATCATAATGTCTGGATTTAAAGTGAACTACACTTCATGAACACTTACAAAGCGTTAATTTCTTTGAATCTGAGCAAAACAATTTCTTTATTGATAATTTCATACTATACACTGAATAACAACAACAACAACAACAATTATAATAATAATGATAATAATAATGATAATAATAATAATTAGTTTTTAAAGATGTTCATCATTGTTCAAAGTTCTTTGGCCATAAAAAACTTCTTATTAAAATATTTCATCCTGTTGAAAAGCTCTTAAATTTTGACATCGCTTATTTCCAATAACTGTGACCATCCACAACATTTTTAAAGTGAAAAAAGACATTTTTTTGACAAGTTGAATTTAAAAAACCTAACGTGTGTACAAAATTAGTTTGAAAATAGGCAAGAAAATGTCCTAATTAATAGAAACACATTAAAAATGTTGTGGATGGTTACAGGTATTGGAAATAAGCCATGTCAAAATTTAAGAACTTTTCAAGTTTATTTATAAGAAGTTATTTATGGCCCAAGCACTTTGAACAATGTTGAACAACTGCATGATCCATTTTATAATTATTTTGTTGATGAAAAAAAAAAAATTCTAAAACCATTGATTTGGAAATGTGCAACTTGTCATTGTCAGCTGGAAATACAATTTGACCTACAGAGTTTCATTAATAAATATAAAAATTGGTTAAATCGTTTTGTATATTTCCTCCATGAGTGCAAATGGAAATTTTAAAACAAAGGGACATAACTTGGTAAACTGAATCCGAACTGCAAATACGGACTTTACCGAGAATATAACTGTAGCGCCACCTGTTAGCATAATTTGGGTGTCATATATTATTACACCAGATGTCGCGTTGTATTATGCTTGCTGCATTCGGCTTTCGGCTATGCGCATTCTACCTTATGACATTCGTCATTCAAGCTGAGTAAATGGACCCAAATACAAACAGTTGCAGGTTAATTTATTGAATTAATATACCAGATCAACAAATGAATAATAATTGATCGTTAAATAACGACATCAACATAAAATTTAGCAAGTCGCACACAGCAGAAAGCATAATGTGCATGTAAGAAAGCAACATGTAAAAGTCAGAATGCAAGATGTATATGTCAGAATGCATAATGTACAAGTTAGAAAGCACGATGTACAAGTTAGAAAGCACGATGTAACTTAAGAAAGCAAGATGTAATTTTGGCATAAATAACCCTCCATAAGCTATAATGTTCACTGTTACTATTTATCGGAACATGAAATGGTAAAACGCTACTCATAAAACAATACGGTTATCGAATTATACATTTTAAAGATTAAAACGGAATGAAACATCCACGTAGCGCTAAGTATGGAGGGTGATTTATGCCAAAATTACATCTTGCTTTATTACGTTACATCGTGCTTTCTAACTTGTACATCGTGCTTTCTAACTTGTACATTATGCATTCTGACATATATATCTTCCATTCTGACTTTTTCTTACATGCACATTATGCTTTCTACTGTGTGCGACTTACTTAATTTTATGTTGATGTCGTTATTTAACGATTAATTATTATTCATTTGTTGATCTAGTATATTAATTCAATAAATTAACCAAGTTTGTATTTGGGTCTATTTACTCAGCTTGAATGTCGAATGTCATAAGGTAGAATGCGCATAGCCGAAAGCCGAATGCAGCAAGCATAATACAACGCGACATCTGGTGTAATAATATGTGACACCCAAATTATGCTAACAGGTGGCGCTACAGTTATATTCTCGGTAAAGTCCGTATTGCGGTTCGGATTCAGTTTACCAAGTTACGTCCCTTTGTTTTAAAATTTCCATTTGCACTCATGGAAAAAATATACAAAACGATTTAACCAATTTTTATATTTATTAATGAAACTCTGTAGGTCAAATTATATTTACAGCTGACAATGACAAGTTGCACATTTCCAAATCAATGGTTTAAGAATTTATTTTTATTCATCAACAAAATAATTATAACATAGAACAGTTGTTCGACATTGTTCAAAGTGCTTTGGCCATAAAAAACTTCTTATTTAAATATTTTTTGACATGGCTTATTTCCAATACCTGTGACCATCCACATTATTTTTAATGTGTTTCTATTAATTAGGACATTTTCTTGCCTATTTTCAAACTAATTTTCTACACACGTTAGATTTTTTAAATTCAACTTCTCAAAAAATGTCTTTTTTCACTAAGTTGAAATTATTCACTAAGATGCTTTATGGCCCCAGGTTCTTGTTCACAGTGTCAGCTAAAAACTGAAGGAACTGCTGCCAAAATCAGCTGATTCTGAGAAAAAAAAAAGAAAAAAAAAGGGCAAAAACTGTCTAGTCTGTCAATCTGTGAGAGTTTAGCTTTAGGACGAAAATGATTCATAATATTAATTGATGAGTACATAAAAACAAAATGTACAAAAAAATGTCGCCCAAGAAATGGTTATAAAATCAAATGAATTGTTTGTCATAGAAGATATTAATAAACATTTTTTTTTTTTCATTTTTTTAAAGAAAACTACTAAAAAGGCATCTTCAGCCAAACATGCAATATTCATTTTATAACCATTTCTTGGGACCATTTTTGTACATTTTGTTTTTATGTACTCATCAATTAATATTATGAAATCATTCGTCCTAAAGCTACACCACGGTGCATATCTATATCGGTACCCTCTTTGCGAAATCTGCTCAAACGGTACCCTCTTTACACATGCACAGGTTATTCTCTGCTAAAAACAAACAAGCGATGGATAACAATCCAGTAAAATTTCAATGTAATAAGGAAAGGGGGTTTGACAGGTACAAAAGATATATACCACGGAACACTAGAAAATGTCAAAAAATATTTTAATAAGAAGTTTTTTATGGCCAAAGCACTTTGAACAATGTCGAACAACTGTTCTTTTTTATAATTATTTTGTTGATGAATTAAAATAAATTCTTAAACCATTGATTTGGAAATGTGCAACTTGTCATTGTCAGCTGTAAATATAATTTGACCTACAGAGTTTCATTAATAAATATAAAAATTGGTTAAATCGTTTTGTATATTTTTTCCATGAGTGCAAATGGAAATTTTAAAACAAAGGGACGTAACTTGGTAAACTGAATCCGAACCGCAATATGGACTTTACCGAGAATATAACTGTAGCGCCACCTGTTAGCAAATTTGGGTGTCACATATTATTACACCAGATGTCGCGTTGTATTATGCTTGCTGCATTCGGCTTTCGGCTATGCGCATTCTACGTACCTTATGAACATTCGACATTCAAGCTGAGTAAATAGACCCAAAATACAAAAGAGTTGCAGGGTTAATTTATTGAATTAATATACTAGATCAAACAAATGAATAATAATTGATCGTTTTAAATAACGACATCAACATAAAATTAAGCAAGTCGCACCACAGCAGAAAGCATAATGTGCATGTAAGAAAGCAACATGTAAAAGTCAGAATGCAAGATGTATATGTCAGAATGCATAATGTACAAGTTAGAAAGCACGATGTACAAGTTAGAAAGCACGATGTAACGTAAGAAAGCAAGATGTAATTATGGCATAAATCACCCTCCATACTAAGTAACGTAAAATATATTTTCCGATTTTTCTATGTACCGATTTGTTCACTTCGATGGTAATTTTTCGTTTAAGTCGTATTTTGAAGCGGAGCATGCGCATAACAATTTTTGTAGACTTCTCCTAATGATTTTACGCTTTAAATGAGATTCATTCACTACAATCAGAAGCGCAAAAATGAATGCCGCCAACAATCAGTTTGAACACTGAGGAGAGTTCAGATGGCCTCTCCAATAAAGGCAGGTAACTCTGCCAAGCATGTCTGCCTAATTACTCACCTTTTTATACTATGCTTTCATCCATTATACTGCTGTAAGCACTGAGAAAAGTGAAATGTTCTACCTACGGACAGTTCTTGATAAATCTCAGGATCAAGGTTTCTTTGGTTAAAAAATATTAATCTTATGATCAGCCAGTCGATGAATACAGAACACCTTGCTACAAATAATGACCCTATATCTAATCTGAAACTATGTATTATTCATTTAAGAGAACTTAAAGTATAAGGCCGATAATATCTAGAAACAGATTTAGACTGTCGGCGACGGAAGGATCTGGATCGTCATGATTTTGACTGGTTGCTTCACCAAGTGTTCAGACATTAGGTTTGTTTACTATTTATATTTAGATCGAAGGTCGGGAGATGGGTGAGGTGTATTATGCCCTGCCAAAACCTGCAGCGTTCATTCCTGATATCAATTACAAATCAACTATTACTAAAGACCCGGGAAGTACCCAATTATATACACTGGCGTCAAAAGGAGAGTAAGTTACACTTTATTTATTTAATTCACCATAAAATCTTAAATCTAAGTTCTAAATTTCTAGTTCTCTATTTTTTGTCTGTTACAATCCTCAAATATGTTTTCTTTCTTTTAAAAAGGTGTATGACTAACAAATCCAAATGATATCCCTCTAAATCAAACACAATTATTTTCCTCCCGTGAAATACACAACTTTTAAAAAATGGCTGCCGCTTACATTTAACAAAGCCAGGTCTAATATAAATTCGCAGTAAGTAACAGAAATATGAATGGATGGTTGGACTTTTTCTCCTACTAAGAATTGTTTGTTTTTATTATTAAAACAAGCGATCATTCATTTTTTTTAATAAAATAAATAATATCACCGTCATTTAACGTTAATTGTCGGACTTATTTTTCAGCTCAAGACTTCTTGTTTTTAATGAGAAATTCCGACTAAATGGGGCTCTCAATGGGGAAAACAAATATTAATATTTACGTTAATATTATGGAAATTTCGTTTTAACTTGTTTTTTAGCATAAAATAAAAAGAAAATTTGTTTGTTTGTTGTGTAAGATGTAGTTTTATTTCATCTCGTGAACTTTAAAAACACTATTCTCGCTCGTGGCTACGCCACTCTTGAGAATACTGTTTTTAAAGCCCACTCGATGAAATAAAATTCCATCGAGTGGGCTTTAAAAAACAAACAAACAAACAAATATCCTCTATATATTCCAGGACAGTGGCAGCAAACTCAACATGTGCAGCACGAATTTTTTCATTAACACCTGTTGACGGTATTGACAGGGCGTTGTTCTTTCTGACAAATTGTAAGAATTTTCTCATATTTAATCTGTGTTCAGCACATGAACTACGCATATGTTATGTCCGTAAAAGCACAAAAAGATGAGAAGTATTTCCAACGTTATTAAAAAATACGACAACTGTCAAAACTATAAAAGTAGAGTTAGATGACGTCATGTACGCTGTCAAACTCCAATCTCCACACAGTGATCTCCCCTTAATTCTTCGGCGTAGATCTCTGCCACCAAGGTCCCAATATATCAGAATTTCTGATATACTATATTTTTTCAAAAATTGTTTTATCTACTGCTTTTATCTATCAGATAAGTTTTCTCTCATTTATTTAACAATGTTTATGAATAAATAAATAAATAATATGAATATTTAGAAATAATTTTAAAAATTATGAGATTATTTTCTACCGAAACGATATTTTGATATTTTATATTTTTTAGCTTTTGAATTTATTTTTCGTTATTTTGTATACTTTCGATAATTTTTTGATAAACTATATCGAACGTAGGCACTAAAAGTTAAAAATAAAACAGAAAGAGAAAAATAACGTTAGATTTTCTTTGTAACGGTCGATATTTACATTTGAATTTCGACGTTACGTCATGTGACTTTCATCATCATGTGACGTCTTTGAAGGCAGTGATTACAATTCTGCCAAGGGAGGTAATCACTGTGGGGAGTTTGGTCAAACTCCTCACAGTGATTACCTCCCTTGGCAGAATAATAATATATCTCTGTACTGATAAGGGGAGATCACTGCATAGGAGATTGGTACGCTGTACGTGTGGTACCAATACATCGAATGACGTCATAATATCAATTACCTAGATAGAGGCTAATGTACTCGTATTATAGTAAAAATTCAATACTGGAATAATTGAATCTTATTGACGTTAACATATGATTTTTTTTACAAAACAGCGTTAATTATGTTATTGATATATTATGATAAGTGCATGTGCATGGATTGTGTAATGTACAATTATAACTCCATCCCATGTGTCTGTGGTAGTGCTCAGTGTGATCAAATATGGTATCGGAAAGTAGGCGGAGCTAAGAATAAGTTTTAACTGTCATCCAACAATATATAGAGGTTATGTTCTAAAGCTGCGGCACTTGACGGTTAGTGCCCAAAGTTTCCGATTGGCCACAGTTTGGTTACCGTTCTTAAAAATTTACCACTATATCAGATTGTACACGAAATAGCACCGATTGTTGGTTAAAATTACGGTCCATACTGGTATTATCACACCATTGATATATGAAGTTGGTAACATTTTCATTAATTTTCAGCCCTGATACAAGCTATGTGGTCAAGTTGTCCAACAAGGTACATATTGATCATGCGGTGTACAAACTACAAGGTTGGTCAGAAGATATGTTTGATAAAAGACACAACCATCGGTAATATTTTAAATCACTCTGTTGTATCGACATCCTGTAGAGTTTATAATTCGAAAGAAAAATACCGCATAAAGGAGATTCAAACTCACGACTGTCGCCTTACAAGTCAAAATGTTCTTAAATGGTCTCAGTCTAATTTGGCATAGCCTTATATGAACCTGACCAGTCTAATCAAATCATTAGATAACTGCATTATTAAGTATTATTACTTCCAAACAAAAATCTTATTCACTTTAATAATACCAATCGTCAATTGGGCTAAATATGCAAAGAATAGTTCATGTATATAGCAAATAAGGACGATTTTTGGAAACTGTAACAAGATAGCAAATTAATTCCGCATTTATAGCCCCATATTTGTTTGTTTTGCATGTAAGATCGAAATATATTTCACTGAGTGGACACCAGATGCAGGCTACGCCACTCGTGAAAATAAATTAGCTGGTGTTACCGAGTGAAATAATATATTTCAAAGTTTATACAAGCATATCTATAGTTATACATTTTACTCTTACTGGTGTAGTATAATACATGTATCTAATTTTAAAAGTGCTTTTATTTAATATTGATATATTATATTAATATATCTTTCTATTTCCTTTCATATCATTTATTTCACGTTTTATCGGCTTTTCTTAAACCGTAGAATTATTCCAGGTTTTTATATACATGGTAATATGAATGATGCTCCACTCATCGAAATCATTGAAGATCTTTTTCGAGCTACGGGAGTGAAGTTTGGTTCCCCTAGCTTAGAATGGTTCTTTTCATTCGGAGAAAATAGTAAGTTTTTTTATTAGACCTTTCCCTTATTTAGGATCTGTTATCAAGTTCTTACTTGAGTAAAAAGTATCTACATAAAACATTGAATGTATGGGTAGCAATGTGATCAGAAATATATTACATAAAAACTACATCATTTGATAACATTTTTACATTTTAATTGTATATAGAAAAGGGAGACAACTATTAAATAACAGTGCATGAAATTGTTCATGAGTTATCTTGTCTACATTTTAAGTAACATACAAATAATTATATTGATTCAAAAGCTGATCTTAATTTTACAGTACTTCTGGTTTTTATAATTTCAGCGCTGTGTTGACGTGTGAAATACTAAACATTTCTACGAAGTCCAGAGAGCAACGGAGGAAAATTTACAACCAATGAAAACATCAATTTATCTTAAAGAAACAACAACAAAAAACTCTTCACACATTTTTCCTTCTTGAATTTCAGTTATTTTTGTTTAAAAAAAAAAGTAATTTCATTAGAACCGAAATCAATAAACTATAAAACTCTGACTTTGTTGCTTGTTTTGTTATTAATTTTTAACCCAACCTATTTCCACTTAATTTTTTGTGGATATTTGTTTTTGCCTTATTCATGTAAATATACATGTACACCCGGAAATAAGTTAAGCACACCCCGGAAATTTAAAATTGGCTGTAATTTAAAGCACTGTCATGAGATGACGACTTGAGATAAGAAATAGTAATGTGATAAGTAGCGATACTAATTTAGTAATCATAAACCAGTACATTTATGAGTTTTGTTAATTCTTAAACCAAATTATTGAAGCATATTCAAACGTGTTGTTTTTACAAAAAAAAGTAAGTGTTTAGATGTATGGTATTGGGACGTTTACATTTCCTGGTGGATATTTTTAGCAAATCTTTACAATAACGTATAATGATTATGTTGCCAAATTTTTAATAACGTGTGTAACTGCCACATGCCAGGATGATAGCCTCAACCCTTTTCCTCATACTACCAGTAAGGCCTATAATGCGATTTTGAGGTAAATTTTGCCAGTCATGGTGCATAGCTTGTTCCAGTTAACGCAGGTTTGACTACAGGTGGTGCGTACCAAATTTCAGTTGTGGTCATGTCAAAATTGAACGGGTAGGAGGTTGACAGTAGCAGTGAGTTGTAGCATCAGCAAAATCATAAAACGTGAAGTTGTCAGTAGCAGTAGCATATCATAAATTAACATTCACGTGCAAAACCGAACTAATACACATCAAAAGCTGTCGGTAGGACAGCGCGCTCGACTATGAGACTATGAAATTAAAACAAGAGTCTGGATAATATAAATGTTCAAAAAGGGCCTAATTCAGTCAAACCCATAGTTAGGAAATATATGCATTTGACAGGGACCTCTAGCTGTGAGGTTTCAAACCCATTCTCTTCAGTAGTTTTAATGATTCCAACTTGCACGCAAAGCAAAGTTTGACACCGTCGTGTACAATAGACCTACATAAATTATTCTTCGAATAGTGAAGCTAAAAACAATATATTCTTACATATATATATATATATATATATATATATATATATATATATATAATATATATATATATATATATATATATATATATATATATATATATATATATATATATATATATATATATATATATATATAAGAATATATTGTATATATTAATATCGAGTGTCTTTATATTGCAAAGAATTAATAAGAAATGACTTCGTGAATACTGCTAATTGTGACATAAACAATCACCAGGGGCAATATTTAAATTAACGTCAAGTGACCCAAAAATGACACACAAATACTTAGTTTTAAAAGTTTAATTTGAAAATGAAAATACAATTAAATTTAACATGGAATTAATGGCTTTTATTCACAATAGAAACATTCTGTTGTAAAAAGTTTAATACGAAACCCCGGAAGTTGAAATATCCTCTATTATTTAACTTATGATATTTTTGTACTATGGCATATTATATGCCGAAGGGTTGTCGGTATAACTTTTTCTAATACAAAATAAATAAATTTTCTCAACTTCATGCTGTGAATAGACTTCAAAAAATAAAATTTTGGAGAAAATACAATACAAATATTAAAAAACATATAAAGAGGATATTAATTTGTGAAATATTAACATATAAAAATGTCTGTGTCCAACATTTCGAGAGATATGGTTTTAACAAATATCACTTATAATAAATATCGTATTGTTGACCAACAGTTGACCAACAGTTGACCACCAGTTGACCAGCAGGTCTATTTTCCAGTGTTAGTAAGAGCCCCGGCCCCACCACCATATCCGTATCCCTTCGGTCCGTAATTTTTACCATAGCAACCTTTACAATAGATCTTCCCCTCATGTTCAGCGACCGTATTACTGTCAAGGGTCTTGTTACAATCCTCTGAAGAAAAAATCCGGACATATTACGAAGAAATCGTCACATTTAAGCAATTAACTTGTGATTTTAAAACATTAAGTACTGATAAGTGTGCTTATTAGACCTATTCTCTAAGACAATCACAACTTTTCGGTCAAACAAATACTGGTACGTGTTGCGAATGATACCAAAGGTCATCACTCGGAATATCTCGGATGACTTTGACAATACGTCTTTCTTATTGAGTTGTCGGATGTGACTTTTTATCATCACAAACTCATCATTACGTTGATAAATTACGGCTATGTACAAAAATCATTTTCCAAGACGGTTCCATTCAAATTTGTTTAAGCAGAAATAAATGCTTTAAACATAAAACTTACATTAAACTGTGGTTTATCGATTTGTTACATTCAAGTTGATGCAGATCGACCGTGTAAAATAACATATAAAATATTTCACATACATTCCGATTTGAAACTACCAGTTTGTGAAGCAGAACTAATTCGTGTATTATTGATGAAATATCGACTTTGCAAAAATGTACAAAACATTTTGCTTTTACTATGTTTTGCATAGTATTAGAAAACTAATATGAAATGCTTTAAACTCTCAAAAGCTGATTATACTCTGGATTTTGTTTATATCAAATTGATTAAAGACTTGAAAAAAAGATAAGCAGAGACTGTCGGTGAAAAAATGGATACAGCCAAAAATGGAAACTTAAGCGGAAAGAGACGATGTTTCTCGAACTATAACGGAAAACAACGAATACTCACGACAAGTAAAACAGCCTCGTTTGTGAAAAGAATTTCCTGCTGCGATTATTTCCTCATTTGCATACACTGACTTATCACAACGTCCACACTTCTTTCCACCTCCCCATGTCGGCATTTTGAATCTGTGGTGTAAAAATAAAGTTAAATAATCTATATACTAGTATCGCACGAATCTTATCTTCTTCTTCGGCCCTCATCTTCAGGACAGTACGTACTAGAACAACCACTGTACTTATCTAAAACTTGCTCATTTAAAAACAAAACAAAAACAAAACACACACACACCAGACATTATCATGGCACAGTTCAGAGCTGTTCACTATTTAGGGGACAAGATGTGTAAGCGGCCGGATAGTTCAGTCACGACAGCCATTTTTTCACCCTGTCAAAATTTCATTAAACAGTTAAAGTTGATGTCAACATTAAATAATTAAAATTAAAAGTTTAAAATTTTAAACGTAAAAAAATCAACAACATTTCATGATTAACCAAGTTGCTAAGATTCATGATGATAACTGATAAAATTAAAACTTACAGATTTACAGGTTTACGAAACTAGTTAAAATTATTTCCTTCCGTATACAACCGTTCTCTTTTGTTGATATCTCACCAGTGAATGAAACACATAAACAGATATTCACTTTAACATATTTACGAATCAATGTTGCGTAACGCTACGTAAACCTTACGTGACAAATTTAAGTGCAATGTTTACACCACATTTTTGTGAAACCACTCAATGAATGGTTATATTCACATGCCCATAAATAGACTGTTTGAACTAAAATATGTATAGTACGGTAAACCATTTTAAGCTATGCATGGTATGGCTAATCATTTGAAACAAACGCTAATAGATCTTATATAGTTTGTAATTGTAAAGATGGATAGCATATTTACAACAACATATTAATTTGTTTGTAAGGCCACCGACCCATTATAATTATACAATGCAACATGATACAAAAATCATTTTACGTTCCTTGATCAACATCCTTTAATATACAAATTAAATGGTGTATACATGATTATACGATCACTAAAGTTGATCAGCGATTATGCGGCGATAACTGAAGATGATGATATAAATAATTACTGACATTACGTTATTATTGTTGTATAACAACTGAATTTATTAATGAGTAAAAATCATTTCAATTTGCTCTACACTCATACCAATTTAGCAATTGTTGTTGGCGTACTTCATTATATTTATAACATTGAAAAATGCATGTTATTCACAATCAATAAATGATATATTTCTATTATTTAAACAATTAGTACAAACGCGCTGTGCTCTAGGAATGTTATTTTAAAGTATGACAATCGATTTCTATTTTAAGTTTGTGGTCAGAACATCTATATATCGTTAACTGTCGCAAAATTATTCATTCATAGTTAAAAGTAAGTTATTATAAAAATGTGAACTTTGGCATATTTCGTCACTGTCTGTGTACGCGTGAGGAAATGGTTCAAGTATGAACGTACTCTAAAATATTTGTTTAAGTACATGGAAGGATTATGGTGATATAAGAAATGTTGTACAGTACACACTAAGTGTGAACTTTTAATTATTAATAACCAAAAATTTTATATAATAAGCATATATATAAATATTATATTCCAATTTAAAAGATATGTACTTTAAGTGAATAAGTTATATTGTTATAATAATATTCATTTTTTTTAATTAATGACTAGAAAAAAGCGACAAATAGTATATTGGTGTAGAACAGGGTTTAAGAGATATCAAGAAACAAATACCTTACTTAGTATATAAGTAATTACATGTATAATGAATTTAAAATTTAAGATTTTAGGTTTCTCACAAAATAAAACATTACGTACAAGGCACGTATTTTAGTTACACCAGCAATATGAAATTCATATAACGACTTCCCGACATTATATTAAACGAACAAGTGTGGTTTCCTTATATCCAAAATAAAAAAAAAGGATTAAAAATAAGCTAACTCTGAACCTACGCCGAGGAGGGTAAGTCATTTTACAATTACCTCCCTTGTATATGTGAACAATAATTTATTATTATGATTTTTTTTTCTAGTTGTTGTTTTTTTTTATTTTTATTTTTAGTTTTTCTTCTTCAATTTTAATTACATATATATCATGACTTGAACAATGTTATTTGTTATGTCATGTTTTCAATAAAATAAATTCTGTTTAAACTAACATAACTAGTGACCTCTTGTGTCATTGCTTTTTGTAAACACTGATATTACAATATCCCCTCCAAAAAAAAAAAAACGTTTTACTTAATAACAACAATTTACTCTAACATCATCATGTATAACACCACACCTTTTCTAAATAACTGCCGTAAATTTGGCAATAACATGATACGTTCAGCTTTACAAAATATAATAAAACCTCCTTGTCATAAAATATATATGTAATAAATGAAATATTTATAAAGATATAAAAAATAAAAATGTCAAGCAAGCTAAAATATATATATATCGCATCTTCTCGGCCTTTTTCGTCAAATTTCGGATAAGATCAATAATAGCCGAGATGCTCCGATTGGCAGTTGTCATTGTTAAATACCCGGAGTAGGACGTAAATGGCCAAAGAATTACAATAAATGAAAGATAAATCTGGTGTAATGAAGAGAAACGGTCGTCACACCATTAAAAGACAAGCAAGATTTTCTTTACTTTACAAGGTCTAATAAAGGGGACATTGTCCGCAATCCATCCATTATTACAGTTGTTTATGTCCGTGGGCGTAATAATTATTACAATTTAACTGTCCATGGGCATAAACATTATTACAATGAACATAACCATAGTTTCTTACAAATATATTAAATAATAAAGTTGTTTAATAACTTTAGGCGTATACACAATTTAAAAAACAACAACAAAAAACACGGCCTAAATCATAAAAAATGCATCAAAGTTTGTTTTATAACTTAATTACTTTTCTTTTCAGTGTTAAGGCATGCAAACCAGGCACTTTTCGTTAATTTTTCAACTAAATGAAAAATGTTTTGACTTGCATACAAGATTTAATTAAAATGGGTCGATATAAGTTCAGAAAGCAAAATATTTTCATGGTCATCATAAAATGTAATTTCTTTTATCATTATTATCGGAGTTGACATTGATATTGCCATGTACTTTTAAATGTTATTTTTTCACTTGGTTATAATATAATTGTGTTTTCAGTTGTAACAATAAAATTATACCTTATCCTTTACGACTGAATATAAATTGGTTAGTTGAACAAATATCTTTCAATAATTGTCAATTTATATAGAAATCTGTCTAGGTGCATATATGTAATATATAATCAACATTGACCGTTAAAAGTTTCAATGGTTTGCATTCGGTACACCTCAACCATTATCCTATATATTATATAAGGACCATAAAGTTGCAATCGAATTAAAAATGCGGTAGGATTTGATCACAAGATGTTAAAATCCGAAAGTTAATTTAAAAAGACAAAAGTGTAATCTATATGCCAATTAAAAACGAAAAGGTCGTGTCTTTATTTTATTTCAAATATTTAGATATACAATAAAATGCGGTCTATTTGAAACAAACCCCCAAATACAGACCACTTTGGCTTACGATGGAACTATTAATGGCTTCCTTGCTGGATTGGTAATTATGGTTGACATCATGTAGTTGTAATAAGGTTATATCTATCCTAGTTTGGGGACCTTTTTGTTGAAATAGTGTCAGAGCTAAATCGTATACATATACATGCACAGTGCGGTAACTGGAGTGCAGGTATCAGTTACCCGCACTCCAGATAATGCCCGTGGATTGGTTCATTTTTGCAGGGGTTTACATATTGTGACGGCAGAGAAAGGGAAAGAGGCAGAACTATCATATTCAAATGCTCGTTCATTGGTTTTTTTTCTGGGGTTTCATATTATGACAACAGGGAACGTGCTGTCATGTTTGACTATGATACAAAAGAGAAAGAACGCTACGCCCCCTCGTACAAATCAGATAGCCTCGTGTTTCGGTGCTCTTTCTATTACTTATATCCCACAAAAATGTGTAGATGCATGTTTTATATAGACCTTTGAACTCTAAATTTCGAATTTGGTCAAAATGTAAAAATACAGATAGCGTTGTACGCACGACCAATGATTTGTTTAATTATCCGAGAACTATCAGCACTTGATTTTAAGCCATTAAAATAACATTGTCAATGGCTTAACTTCTTTGGAGACTAAATCTTTGTTAAAACAAAGTTAATTGTATAGATTTGAAAAAGTACTTTTAAGGTACAGTATACCTCAACATTTCTGTTATTTCCTGTAAGGGGCAGACGTATATGCAGGTTTTTAGACAGTACTTCCGGTATAGTCAATGTTAACTCTACAAACACCTTCCCAAAATGCAATCAATAACTAACGAATAACAAGACTGGTAGGTGATCAATCATTTCCTAAAATAAAGCAAATCAATCCAAAGTTGTTTCATTTTGACCTTGGTGCTTTTAATCTACCTGAAAGAATGAATCAAGAAATCTTGATCCACCGTTTATACTGGAAAGTCCCTTATATGACCTTTAGACCGTTGGTAAGATTAAAGGCCTAAAAACTAAGCCAAACCAATTAATAGAATGACGTAAAGACGAACTGTTGTCGTACCTTTTAGGGTTTCTTCGTATAATAACTCATTACTAATATGCCTCTGAGAAACAATGCAAATAATCTTTTTAAAACGACCTTTTCACAACAAATTTAAAGATCGTAAGGCGCTTATTATTAGGCATATATATTACACACATCAACAATTGTGCCTACGCTTACAAATGGTTTACAATGTTGGAGGGAAGACCTTAAACTTCTGTATTTAAATGGAATAAAGTATCCGTTACTTCATTCCATTTTGAAGGAGACGTACGGCTATTCGTATGTTTCTCTAAAATCAAAAATTATGAGGATTCTAAATTTATGTTTTGCAATAACAGTCCTGTTTGGAGCCGGTGAGTCGTGATATCTTAATCATTATTATTATTATTAGTATCATTATTATTATTATTATTATTATTATTATTATTATTATTATTATTATTATTATTATTATTATATAAGATAAATTAGAAGTACAACACATTCATTATATACTTTTAAATGAAATATTGAGAAATATTTATGAAATAAAATGTGTATTTTCATTTTCAGTATTTTCATTGCAGTGAAACATATTTCCCGTATTTCACTGGTTTCTTGTCGGTCTTCTTTCTGCTAAATTCAGCCAATATACAAAATTTACGGAGTCTTTCAAACTGAGGAACTTTCAAAAAGAGGAAAATGTATGTAATAAACAGAAAATTCAAGTTATTCTATGAACACGGGATTTATTTTCATCTTGCGGTATGATTTTTATATTTCACTCTGATAAAATATATTTATTTTCATACCACTCGACGAAAATAAATCCTGTATTTATAGTTAAAATTTGAATATTTTCTAAGAATTAGAACGGAAACACTTAACAATAAAAAAAAAACGCATTAAATGCAATTATGAAAAGTTATTTAGAGTAATTCAAATCATTAGTAAGAACAAATACATTTTTACAGTACATGTATAAATTTTATTAGACTTGCCTTAAATGTTTATTCTTTACACGTAAGTTATAATAATTACATGTAAATTAGGACTAGGTCCATGAATAAAAACTTTAACACACCAATAAGAAATAAATTATAAAATATACGTAAATTTTAACTTATTTAACCAATCATGAGGAAATGTGATTTCGGGTGATAAACAGGCAGTCAAATAATTGTTATAAATTTCTTTTTTCTTTCCGATGCACCGCAGCTTTTAAGATAATCTTAACTTGCACTCAAGTTCTGTTTGCAACCGCACAAAATTGCCTAGTACTTCATCTGTGTTAGTTCTTTATTTATTATGGATCTATTAAATCTTGGGAATTGTATACAACTGAAGCCGGTGTTACATGGGCGATGAGAGCGAGAGATTACAGATTTCATTTTATTTTCGAAATAGACTAAACCAACTTAACTTTGTAAAATGTTACTCACAAATGTGTCAATTTGTTTCCGCGGAGAGGAGTAGGGGAGGGGCGACGGTTCTGGAGGGCACTTTCCGATTTCTAGAATAATGAAACCATTAGTACAAAAACAAAAATGAAATTAAAATGTACATGTATATACTTCAAGTTATTGGAGAGCAAGTCTGGCTTCGGGATTTGAACTCGGACCTTGATAAACGGAACCTTGAGATCGGAGGCTTACCGTCAAACTTTAAATTCGCACTCATCCGGCAAGGTTATGACCATGGACTCGAACTGAACTTGGAGGAAAATCGGCGACTTGGAGCTAACGCACCGGTTTACGAAGTTAAACAAACATCTGATGGTAAACAACAATTAGTGAAGAAAAATGCCATCCCAATAACGGTATGATTTTGTTATCAACAAAAGTATGAATTATTAAAAATATCATATCTTTTATGTGTATAATAGTATGAACATATCACCGTACAAAAGTAACACATTATTTATTAATGAAATATGTAGGATATTAGGTAATATTGTTTTCTGTTTGGTCTGTGTTTAAGTTTGTGACAATTTATCACCGGCATCTATAACATATACAGTGTTCTTAAAATTGTCTCCCTATCGCCGACATAGTGTTTGTTTATTCCATAAACAGTCTATACTATATGTTATGGTGGCTGATTTGTGCCATGTGGCTTTTTCGCTCCACGGGGCGCCAGGCAAAATAACACAAAGTGACGACAAATTTGTCGTATTTTTCGTGTTTTCGCCTGGCACATATCAGCCATCATACTATTTAGTAACAGGAACTGCTCCTTACGTGTCAGGAAATAGTTACAATAAATTACAGAGGGAAAAAGACGTATAATTGAGGCTCAGTTATGTCGTCTGTAAGTCATACGGACAAAATAACCTGCTTGGAACCAAAAGTGATTATCTTTTGAGCTAGACTAACATAATGTGTCCGTGTAGTCTGACCGGAGTCTATACTATTGGCTAACCGACTTCATATTTGCACCTTGAACGCCACAAAATTGATAATGGACAGTTCCAAAAATGAAACTTGGACAAGTCCATTATAGAAATTCAGCAGGTTTAGGGCACCTTGCTGCTGACATTGGTTGAATGAACTATGCACGGACAACAAAATGTACATGTATTTTATATACATGTACGAGAAAAAAATGTTCATTGTACTATCAACTGAATTTAAGCCTTAACAAAATGCCGTACGTAACAAGACAAATAATCTTAATCTTGCAGCAGACGAAATTTTACCAAGATAAGAAAGTAAATGGAGTTTTTATGGTCACGTGCAAGAAACAACGTATTGGCGCGTGCCAAAGAATGGTGGTATGTTGCATTGACTTAGTTTCCATAAATGAAAATAATAAAAAAAAACTTTAAAAAAAACATGTTTTCTGAAATACTATCGGTTATTTGTTTAAAAAAATTCGCGCTAGATAGATCGATACATGTATGTTAAAGTAAGACTCTTTGCAAAGACATCAAAGTAGGCAACTGTCTTGATCGGATCTCTTCCCTAGAATTTGCTGTTACATTTTTTTCTTCATTTAAGTGACAGCTTGCATTTATGAACAAATCATTTAAAGTAACAATATTCTCAATATGACTAAAGTTCAGTTCTTCTTAATTAAGTTACTAGTATTTCTTGCGTAGCGTTAATTAGAGCGTTAATGATTTCTAATCAGATTGCGATATTCTTTTACTGAAAGGAAGGGTTATTTGACATGGATGGCGAAAATTACAACTTGGCCCCAAGTGAAAAGCCTACAGTGCTACGAAACGTAAATACTGGAGATGTTCCGCATGAACTGGTTTCCAACAAGGTAGAAAGCATGAGATGGTTGTCTGAAATGACAGACTTTGCAGAAATAGAAGGTTTGATACTTTTCCAATATAAAATTATTTTCTTTGTTTCAAATTTGAGAGATCATCATTTGTTGGAATTAATCAGATACGCAAAAGTTCATCGAAAATCATTCCTTTGTTTGTGCATTGTCTGTTGTACATTCGGTGAGTCGAAATTGAAGAATTAAAGCTAAATAAATCTCTTAGACAATTCAAAGACCACTGATTATTCATCTGATAGGTTAAAAACAAGTATTATATCTATTTAAAGATCCTTTATGTTATACATTGTAATTAAGGATGTTACAACACTTAAGTGAAATTTTTTATATGTGTATAATAATTCTTTAAAAACAATTTCCAAACATCCAAGAATATGTTAATTATGAGCTGCAAATGTTTATTCGCATTATCAGTAATGCATTAATTTCTTATTTAAAAGAGTTCGAATTACCTCCCTTTATTTACAAATAAAATGTGAATGCGGTAATATCTTTACAAATAATGCTTTTTTGAATTTACAATATTGATAAATCTTCATTTGAGCATCAGATTAATGTTATAAAACCATAAAAAATGAGTTACAGAATCTTAAAAATAATGAGGGAAAAATAATACGAGGGGAAAACATTTCAATACCATTGTATGCTTTCGATTTCAGACGGACATTTACAACAACGTAATGAATTCTTGGAAAAGTTGACTGGTTTACTTAATGGAAGAGATGCAGATTTGATTGCCAGGGTAAATCCATAATTCTGAAATTATTAAATAAAATTAAAAAATTTTTATTTATTCAAAAATGGTTTCTTGGGGAAATTAAAAATTTAAAAAAAACCAAATTGTTTTAAAGGGGGAAAAAAGGGTTTTTCAAAAGGACACAAACAAAAAAAGGAATTTTTGGGAAAAGGGGGTTGACGGTTTTAAATGGACGGAGGATTGATGCCAAAAAATTTTTTTTAAAATTAAGTTTTAAAAACCCTTTCATTTTGAAAAATTTTTCAGAAAAAAAAATTTAGAAACAAAGATAGTGGCATTTTTATTTATATTAAATTTAAAAATTTTTAATTTTGTAATTTTTGCGAAAAAAAAGGGAAAAAAATTTTAAAATTCCCTGTAATTTTCAATATTTTAATTTCCTTAAACTTATCTATAAAAATGGGTTATCACTTATGTTTTTGTTTTAAATTGGTTAATTTTGACAAAACCCAAAAATTAATTTTAAATTTTAAAAAATTTAATTAATTTCGAAATAAAATAATTTTGTTCGTTTACGAAAAAATTTTTTCACTGAAGGAAACATATTTCCTTTCCTGTTCGTATTCCTTTAAATTTCTGCGGTCCCAAAAGGGAAATTCTTTAATTTTAATGTAAAAAATGGAAAATTATATTAAAAAATATTTTTTCATTAAAATAAGGTTTTTCTTTGGGCTTAAAATTAAAAATCGACGCCCTTAAATACTTATTTAAACCCAAGATTCTTGTATTATAAAAAATTAAAAAACCTCTTTTAATATAAAATCCCACGAATTATTAACCGTTCAATAATTAATAAAAAAAATATAAAATTATTTTTTTATAAAACCAAGGCAACCTTTTATAAAATTTTCCACAAAAATTTTACTCCCCGGTTTTTTTGTTTTTTTTTAAAATTTCTTTTTTTTTTTTGTGTTATTTTTTTCGATTACCTTTTTAAAATTTTTTAAAAAAAGCGGGTTTTTAAATTTTCGGGGGCCCAAAAACAAGGGAGGGTTTGGGGTTTTGCCAAAAAAAAGGAAAATTTTGGTGCCCTACCACAAAGGGAACGTAAAAAACGTGCAATTTTTGTTTGTACTTGCTTTCATTGAATTAATAATGTGTTGTGCTGATTTACATGTTTGTTTGTTTCTTTGAAACAAGTCGTATTTTACAAAAGAATTGTATCTATAGCAGAATACTGGACATGACTTAAATATTTTACAGTTACTACGAGGAAAGTACAGACGACAGAAAAGGGCGGGAAACACGTACGCCGTAGATGTTGTTGTAGCTATCGATCCAGCATTGTGGAAAAAGTATCGAAATATTTTACTTTATTTTTATTTATTAGTATTATTTTTTTGGGGGTGTGGGGACATTTAGAATTTGTCACCAAATAATTATTTTAAAGTTTGTTTACTTTATTTAAGATTTTGCAGTTATTTTGATTCAAAGAGATGTAAAACAAAAAAATACAGGTCTTGTGTTACGGAAATATCCGATTAATTACGAGTATTTACGATTTTATAGGTACTATGACGACAACCACAGAAACAACTGAATCCGCCAAACAAGATGAAGCCGAACTTAAGCTACGACAATATCTCTCTCACATCTATAATGGGGTAAACTGTTTTTGTTGTGTTTTTGTTGTTGTTGTTGTTGTTGTTGTTGTTGTTTAATTCTTGCTGTTGTTGTTTAGGAAAATAATAAAGTTCGTGAAAATCCGGAAAGTATCGTAATTTCTTATGTCTTGTCTTATTAAAAATGGCTAATGATGTACGAACTAACCTTCATGTGTATTTGTGGACAGAGGATAATACATCGCTTGGCAAATCTGCTGAATATTAAGAAAGTGATAAAGAACAATTTATTTATTTATTTATTCTATCGCAGGTGAGCTTGCGTTACGAGTCAATTGACGACGCAGAATTAGACATCTACGTTACTCTGTCAGGATTCATTTTCTATACGGTAACTTGTTAATTATTAAATTGTCCTCTGAACATCGTTGATATATTTCATGTTTACGATTATATATTGATATTTATGATGTTAATTTAAGAGGTAGTTAGGCGGGTGGGTGAGCCGGGGGAGACACGGGGATGAGACTGAATACTAAGGTCGGGAAGGGTAATATTATTGTAGTGCGTACAGTAGTACATCTGCATAGAATCAAGTGACGGTGTGACATTTTTTAAGTCTATCATGTACACACTTTTATAATCAGTTTAAAGTGATGAAATACATTTGTTTCATGTGCTTTGTTCTTCGGGGGATGGCACATTCAAATTTCCTTCTTTATCCGGCACTTTTGACACTGAACAAAAGTGTAGCCATGTCTGGTCATGGATTTCATAATTCTTATCAGAAAATGGTTTTTGTCATAAGAATTATCTAAATTCTTTCTGAAAATACTCAGCTTTCATACTTTTTTTGTTTCCTCCATTGAAACGCACTTTGTCGACTTTGGATTTTTCCTTCATATCTCAGACATCTTAATGGACTATAATATTAGCAAAAGCACTGGGTGACAACACAATCTGCTGTTTCACTGATTACCTATCCATCATACGTGGTTAAAAAGTTGTCACTTCTTAAGGACCCATGTTATCCTTTGACCTTGTTCTCAAAAGGTTTAGACAACCAATATCAATGTGCTAGAAAAATGAAAGGAGTAGTATCTTTGTCTTAATAAACTCCTGAAAATATGACTTCTTCCCTTTTGCCACTTGTTTTATTTTTATTATTTTGCACCTCCCTTCCCCGGATCTCGAGTCCCTTTCCCCTTTGCCCTTTTACTTTGTGGACCTATTAAATCACCATTTATTTGTGTTTTTTTTTAATTTCCTTGTCAGTGATAATTATTTCCTTTTAAGTATCATGTTAGTGATAATCCCACCCGTGCTCTGTCTCGCGCCCTATCCGGTTTTTGTTTTGGGTCCTCCTGGGGTCCTTGCCACTAGTTCTTGTTGCTGGGTCGTGTGGGGGTTGTATTCATTGAACGCCGCATTTCCTATCATATTTTAGTAACATTTACATTATTGGCACAAAATTATGCAATATGTACTAATGTTCTGAGACCTTTTTCAGACATCTTTATGTCGCCTTTAATACTTAACTCTTGCATTCAAATTATAGGCGGTGAACAGCACGAGCCCAGTACCTCCGTCAGCTATAGTAACTGAAAACGGTGTTGAGTATGCCGACTGCGATATGTACTTGAATAATCTGGTGACATGGGCGCAGAATCTCGAGAATCTCCCCGATAACGACCACATCGCGGTGTTTACTGGGTAGTTACTTTTCCCGTTGTTTTGTTTAGTTAATAAATTTTACAAAGTCAGCACCAGAAATTGTATATCACGAGTGGCGTAGTGAAATATGAACTTCTGGTGTTCACGGGTTGAAATATATATTTCGATCTTCATATAAACTAAACAAATTTTCTCTTAAATATACGAAAATAATCAATCTAAAACTAAATGAAAGCGCGCCGAATAATTATACAGTTAGGTTGGTTTCCAGTACTCTGTACGATGGAATTTCAGTGAAACAACGTAACGGGCTTAAAATCAAAACAATTAAATATTAGTTTGATATTTCACTGATACATTTCTATAAACCACCGAAAAGCATGTAATAAACATTCTTGTAACCCTCTATAATTGTAACATAAAAAGTAAATTGGAAATTAAGACCATCCATATATATGTAATTATTTATTTTCAGATATGATTTGTATGCAAGTGCGCCACAGTATAACAGCGTTGCAGGATATGCGTGGGTCGGAGGGGTTTGTAACGATTACAGGGTTTCTGTGAACGAGGCTGGTACCTACTTTGAGACGGTGTCTGTCGCCGCACATGAGCTCGGACACAAGTATGTCCAATAAATAGAGAATACCATGCTAGTGTCTGATATTACAAATTCATGGCTAAGAAGAAAAAAAGAAGGGCGAAGCTCTGTCGAGTCCTTCAATTTTTTTTCGTGCCGAGCCTGATCAATTTTGTAATATCAGACTTTTGTTTGGTATTCTGTTTATCATTATTTCAATTTTGATATGCGTTTCTAGAACAAAACCTGTCAAGAACATCTCGAGTTCATGCCGCGCGCAGTAATATATGTTAAGGGTATAATCAATAAGAAATAGTCCCAAATGTTTTAGTTAAATTTAATTAATATTTTTAAAATAATGTGTTCGATTCAAAGTTTATCAATTTAATATTTTCAAACAAGTAAGAGGTAAAAATACTCCGTTCTATTAATTTTATTTCAATATGTATTTATTAAGTGTCTGATCAAGCTGAGGGTGACTGATAAAGCTGAGGGTGACTGATAAAGCTGAGGGTGACTGATTAAGGTGAGGGTGACTGATAAAGCTGAGGGTGACTGATAAAGCTAAATTTAAGAAATCAATGCACTGAATTGATATTTAAAGCCTCTCTATTTTTCTCTGTTTTAGTTTGAATGCCTCTCATGACAACGCCACAGATTGTCCGACCACAGACAGTTACATTATGGCCCCCTCTACAGCTAATTTCGAGCTAGGCGAGCCCTACTCTGTTAACCCGTGGAGATTTTCTACATGTTCAATAGACTCTTTCAAATCTTTTATCGACTCCCTTGGCACAGGCAGGTGAGTAGATTGAAGAAATTTTTAGCGTGTAATCGCGATATACCGCGGCGTCTATATGACGTATGGTCACGTGATAAAATGTCCTGACTTTGGATTTCTTGCTTTGTGTAGATTATATTACTGAAAACAGGCTTTTCGGTTCATTTACAAAACATTTATTTTCAGTTCTGAAGACTTGCAATTTACCATTTTATTGTTTCGTCTGTTACAGGGTAACTTAGACACATAGGGCTCACTTCTCAGTCGTCTGTCTGTACGTCTGTCCGACACAAAACATGTCCGGACTACTCCTTAAAAAACTGGTACTGCCATTACATTTAAATTAACAATGCAATAACCATCTGGAAAACATAAATAATTAATTTATACTGCACGAATTTAACGGGAAGAAAAGGAATGTAGGGATAACTGTCTCATTATCGGCACAAACTTATTTCTCGGCGTTCTTCGTCAACTTCCGGAAAATTTGATTGAAATTAAAGAAGATGTTATTTTATTTTCAGCGGAAACTGTTTGCTTGACGCTGGGAGTTATTACGATTCTTCTGAATACGAAGATCACGTCAATACAATGCCTGGAGAGTTGCATTCCGTGGATGAACAGTGTGAACTATTGAGGGGAGATAACTCTGTTTTGTACACAGAAATAACGGTGATCCTCGTTTTCGTTTAAAATTGTCCAGTTAAAATATTCCATGATTATAAAACTATTTTTATTACAATGCCGTTATGTCTACTGTATATTTATTTGTAGATTGAACCTTTAAGCTTAACATTATGCCACGGATTTATATTACAAATCCGTGATTATGCTATGTACGGAAATGGATTTTTATATGTTTTTAAGGATTCGGAGTCAGAGGAAATTTGTCGGACAATGGCGTGTATAGATGAGAACAATTACTATGCCATTTATGCCGCTGCACGTGGAACTCCGTGCGGCCCTGCGTCTGAAAATAAGGTAAGTTATTTACAGTAACAATAGTCTTGAACGTTTCTGCCAAACACCTCACAGTGATTATCTCCCTTAACAGATTGTAACATTTTTTTACTGATAAGGGGAGATCACTGTGTAGAGGATTACATCTCTGCAAGTGTCATAGGGTATAAAGTACTAAACTATATATGTTTTTAACTTTTTAATTTTAGGTACGCCTAAATTTAACTTGAAGCAGACAATTTATTGACAGTGTTTTATTATATCATGCTCTTTAATTTCACGTTAAGTATCATTTCAACACCTGAATGAGTATAGTAGTCGTTTTATTTTTCTCAAAACATCAAGGTACATACAGCATCATTTATACATCAAAACAGTTTCGTGGCGTTCCAAATTAAATTATATGTACTGTATAAATTATTCAGTTAGCGATGCAGAAATATTGGCGAAATCCGCGAATTGACGAGTCACTTAATTTTCCTCTAGCGTAAATATCAACTTGTCACGGAAATTTAGCTAATATTTCCTCACGCAAAATTTGTTGAATTTAAGTTATCTTACTTTTTGACACGCAGAAATGTCCACTTATACAGTAATTGTTGAACAGGAATCGTGTGTATACTGTAATATCTTGTTCATTTTTACATACATCTATGATAATTTAAAACATTTGGGCGTGTCAAGCTTTAGGCCCTTTCCGTCAAACTTCATATAAGGACGACATTCGGAACACCTGGACAGTTTTTCAATACTCATAGGTCCTTCCTTATACGAAGAATGACTGAAAGAGTCGATTGTAAAATCAATTTGTTTGTGTTTCATCCTGACATTGGTGATTATGTTCTTTTTTCTTCAACATAGTGGTGCATCGAAGGACTGTGTGTGAGCAAATCGGAAACCAATTCAGGTACTGTATAATATAATAATAATAATAATAATAATAATAATAATAATAATAATAATAATAATAATAATAATATAATATAGATCTAGACACAATGTATTCCATCACATCAAAGGTGTCCAGTCAGTTCAATAGGTATAGCGTTTGACTGTGAATCGAGTGCCCCGGGTTCGATTACCAAACGGCGCAGTTCACTTTCTTTGTTATTGACAGTCACTGAACCTCTGCTCTGGCATGTTCAGAAGTTATAAGTTTCTTGCTAAAGTAATGGCAACAAGTACTGGTAAACTACTGGTATATTCATGTGGCCAACTGGCGTGATCCGGAGTGAAAACTACCAACACCACCACTCCATCAGACCATATCAATCAATCCTAGTTTTTTTCCAGAGCCCAGAATAACCATAGTAAACCTATATTGTATTACATCCAGCCTCGTCAAAACATTCCATATCAAGAGCTTCGTTTTCTTCTAGTTCAAAAAAACAAAACCAAAAAAAAAACCATATCAAATTAGTTTTGTACTGTAAGTAATTGTACTTTTGATCTAATTATAATAATATACTATTATGAGTGTTTTAATAAATCCAATAAACGTTCTTTTTAAAATTTATATTGTTGTCAAATAAAAAAGCTCATGATACTTAATGTCTTGTATATTGTTGAATACAATATTGATTATATTGTACCCGTACACCGCAGCAAAACCTATATTGTACTCAGCTAACGCCTCGTTCAATACACCTTTTACTGCTGTCTATTGTATTCAACAATGTAAATAATGTGTTTATGTATATAAATAAGGCACAAGCAACGAAACAAACACGAATACTGGAACAAACACGGACAACACGAATACTGGAACAAACACGGACAACACGAATACTGGAACAAACACGGACAACACGAATACTGGAACAAACACGGACAACACAAATAATGGCACAGACACGGACAACACAAAAACTGGAACAAACACTGACAACACTGGTGGTAGTGAAGAGTGTGCTGATACGGGATATTTTGATGGAACGTGGACTTGGTCATGTGACGAGCTAAATACCTATTTCAAGGATAATTTCAATGCCGAGACGGCAGACTGGTGCCAAGATACAACCAACGGCTGGGCCAACTACTGTTGTGCAATGTGTTCAGGTAAGAAGTTCGATCTTGTATATACAAAGCTAATATAATGTGCAATGTCAGGAAATAAACTTTGTTAAAGAATGTCATAAGTCACACACCAGAACTTTTTTCTATTTTTAAAAGTTATGGTGTTCCGGGCGTGTAAAGGCAGCAACTGTTATATTTTGTTGATGAATAATTTCTACTATGATATTTTAGCAACCGGAACGTCCTCGACTATTATTCATAAATAAATAATCTGAAGACTGACGGAAAGGGCCGAGAAGTTGCGATTGATATTTTAGTACAGTTATATGTCCTGTGTAAATTGTGTCATGGTTTCTCCCCATTGAACTTTAAACTGTATTTCTTAACATAAATGATCTTATAAAAATGATTATTGTGTAAACGTTTAGATGCAAGTACCGGAACGGGCACGGATAATACCGGAGGGACAGATACGGATAATACCGGAGGGACAGATACGGATAACACCGGAGGGACAGATACGGATAGCACCGGAGGGAATGAGGAATGTATCGACATAGGATATTTTGATGGCGCAAAGACATGGTCATGCACCAAGTTGAAAAGATATTTCAAGAACAACTACAATGCAAGGCCTAAAGACTGGTGTCTTGATACAGAAAATGGCTGGGCTGACTACTGTTGTGACATGTGCTCAGGTTATAACTGATTTTCGTAATTTTATTTCCTTGCTTTGCAACTCTTACATTTTGTTTGTCTTTCTCTGAAATACGAAAACAACAGTCAAACCCTGAAGCATAGACCACCGCTGGAACACGGTTAGAGAAACGATTCTCTTATAACTGTATATTTTGCTGCCATTAGCACATAGTTGTATATTATTTTTGTATTGCAGTTAAAATATTCTGAGTTTTATGTTTTCCTTTTCAGAGTATGTGAAGTAAAAGAAAACTACAACAATATGCAAATAATAATTTTACCTCTACCTATGACGTATGACGTATGATCAAGGTTCTAACTAAACACAAACTCTTGTCTTTTAGTAACCTCTTACATCATTTTAACAATACAAAAATATGAAAACAATATCATTGTCTCTCTTTTTTGTAAATTCTTCAGAGTTTCTAATTAATTAACACTAAATTTCAAGTTCATAATATTATAATGAAAAAAAGAAAGTAAGTTTAGACCTCCGTGTTCATGTATCATACAATTTTAACTGTCTGAAATAAACGTCCTCTAACATATAGTAATCCTGTTTTGTTTTTTATTTGATTTTATATATGATCATGTATCAGGTGTTACTTAAAGCGGCCTCCAGCTTTTATTTTCTGTTGGAAAAAAACAATGCTATGTTGTTTCAAACTAAGTATTTCAGTAATAATTTCATCTTGGAAAATGCATTACATCACTGTAAATCTTCTTCAAACAGCGTCCCGCGAGCTATTTATAAACGCAACAATGACATTCGTTTCTAAAAATAGAAGTTCACTAATTTAAATATAGAGAGCACACCGGTAGAGTAGAGATCGAGGGGATAAACCATCATTGTCTTATGTATCATTTCGTCGGCAAATTTCATATGCTACCTTAATTCTTTTGATCTGATAATTTTATATAAAACGATTTATCTAAAAATAACATATTTTAACCTTTTGAAAAGCTAAAGGCCGCTTTAACGTGATGGTGTCCATGCGACCAGAGCAGCCAAGATCAGTTTACCATGATTATGGGTGGAACAAATTAGATCTAGCACCAAAATAATTATTACTCTGCATTATACAAACTGTTACAAACAATTGTTTGTGACTTCATTTTGAGACATGAAAATTTATCCAAGCTTCATTGTCAAACAAAATTGATGTGCAAAGACAGAAGAAAAGTTTCAAGCATCGTCATGTTTAACAAAAAGTGAGAAGCCTTTGGATAAAGGATTGGAGCAGTACCTTTAGACGCCTGCAGAGTCAGGATCACAAAATAGACAAATATCGTTTTGTTTTTTTCTCGCAGATTCTTGCATCTTGCATTCATTATCAAATATAGATAAATAAGACCTTTAAAAGTTTATTAAGTAGGGTGAAAAGGCGACATTTAAGCCTTTAATAATTCAAGCGTCTTTTCCGGTGTGTACTGGATTACGGTATTTAGTGTGGTGCTCCAATCCTTTTTTTAGTCTCACTATTAACCTTTGCCACCGGCAGTAGAGAGCCAGTCTGGCTCGGCATTATACTATTGACTTCAAATATCTCTTACGGTCTGTTTCAAATAGTTAGGTGGACAAATAATTTCAGGAAAAACTCAGCAGGTAAGAAATAAATAGCATTTGTCGGCTGTGTATAGCTTTCTTACATTAAAGAATTCAAAGCATGTCTAGATCTGGATGGTACGTTGCAGGGCCTTTCAGCATATAAGCAACGGGAGAGAGATGTAGGTACAAACAGAATACGGCTGATTTGAAGTCGTATACTGTCTTTGCTAGCACAACACCATCACACAGTTAATTCCAATGGATAATTGTACGTGGGTAAAATGATTGGTTATAACTTTTTACACTGCACAGTTTTAAAACATTTAGAGTGATTTATTATCTGCTTTGCAATAATGTTATCTGTGGCACAAATTTCAAAAGTCTGTGAATCAAACCAACAAAGGTGAGGGACAATTAATTGATTTAAAGCCAGCTACCTAAACCGATTGAACACGGAGGGTTTTCAACCACTAGTCTCTCCGACTTTGTGCATATGTAGATCTGACGAGTAATGAACAGGTTGCAAAATCAAATCATAATTTTCCGTAAAATTCATGAAATTAAAAAAAAAGTCATAAAAATCATTTTTAAAGAATATTGCTTTAATGTGTTTAAGTTTTCTGTCTGTTATTTACGCGACCAAGCAATAGTGGCAACCCGAATATTTAGATCTGCTTCAATGAAATTAAATTTTGTAGGCCGTTATATTACAACTCCAAGTCACAATATTCTAGCAGCAAGTCGTCAGACATACAACCAAGCTGAAACTTTAGCCGTCCGGTTAGCTCAACAGGTAGAGTTCGATTCCCAGACGGTGCAGGTCACTTTCGTTGTGATGCCTCATGAAATCCTTTCTACGACAATTTGCTCTGTACATTTGCTCTACCATGTACAGAAGTTTCCGTTCCTTGCAAAAGTGAAGGCAACTAGTACTGGTAAACTGTTTGACAGCTTGCCCACGAACGGTGCCTTGGCTGAACTGAGCTCTGGTAAATTCAATGTGGCTTACTGCCGTAATCCGGAGTGAAAACTTCCAATACCACCATCACAACCAAGCAGAGGATTGAATCTCAGACATATACTAGTATTGCATATGACGTTTTTAACCATTTGGCTTTCATTGAGTAAGTTCAGCTACAGTATCAGTGTAAATTTGGTTTAGCCAGGTCCAGAATTGAAAAAATACTGACCTTCTACCACTAGGCCACCGCTTTGTTAGTACAAATCAGGAAAATAAAATCCATACGTGCCATATTATTATTATCGATATTTATTTTTTAAAAAAAACCCACACATTTCAATGTACATAATTAATATCACACAATATATATTTTGAGTTATGATAAAATAAAATATTTTATTACCCTTGCATCAAATTATCCCTTCGTAACTTATTTACAATGTACATCACACATAGCCTACATGTCAATAAGTTTTATATACTATAATGTCAATCTCAATATACAGCTATTTTCTTTTTTATTTTAAAATCTTTCTTCATTTTTTTTTCTCTTATTATTATCCTCAATAACACATCGAACACCAGTTCACACTTACCAAACACTTTAATTTATAACTGATATGATTGTCTCACACAGATCCGAGTTAAAAATTCAAACAACAAACCAGTCACAGCATTGGAGCTTTCTCATTGGTCAATTCAAATTCTGAAATACAGACCAGCCAATCATATGCTGAGGAATATGGCCCAGTCTAAAATTATTTATAGAATTTCATCCTAGTGTAAATTTGTATCATCTGCTTGAAGTAGGAACTGATTGGATCGATGTTTCAAGCCCCGCCCTCACATTAAAAATGTCCTGCCTTCCTGTTGACGCCTCAGTTTGGATGACATTTGCTTTTTTCCTTGTGTAATGCTTTGACTTTGAGACTTTAGGTAACTCACTAGGGAACAAAGACTCAGGATGGTTGTTCATATGATCGTCTGAATCGTAAACATCTGAGAACGTATCCAGCCTGAAAAATTATTTTAACTTGTATACCAGTTGATATGATATATACTGTATTATCATGTTAAATAAAGATTTTGTTTTTCAATTTAACCAATAGTCCAAAATTTAATGTGCTTTTGACAAGAATAAATTGCATATTTTGCACTTAAAGACTATATTAAGCTATATCTCATGAAGTATTTTTTTATAAAATTTAGTAATAGAAAGAGCACCGAAACACGAGGCTGTCTGATTTGTACGAGGGGGCATAGCCCCCGAGTATAAATCAAGATTGCCGAGTGTTTTGGTGTTCTTTCTCTTTTGTATCATAGTCAAACATAAAAACACGTTCTCTGCTGTCACAATATGAAACCCCGGGAAAAAGGAACCAATGAACGAGCATCTGAATATGATATTTCTGTCGCTTTCCCTTTCTCTTCCATCACAATATGTAAACCCCAACAAAAATGTTAACAAAGTGCGGGTAACTAATACCTGCACTCCAGTTAACGCACTGTGCATGCATATGTATACGATTTAACTCTGACATATTTTCAACAGAAAGGTCCCCAAACTATGATAAAATAAATAGTAAAATAATGTTGTTTCCATAAACTTATGGTCGATTCTTAGAAGATTTGTAATATATACGAAATGTCTCTCTTATTTAACACGCATAAATATTGTATGTAAACAGAATTAAACGTTCCGGAACAAAAACATGCTGTTATTGGAATTTAAGCTATTAAGTTTTTACTGTTTAAGAAATGATTTTTTGTGCATGACCCATAGGTTTCAATCGTACAGGTATATTTGGAATTATTCTTCTTTGTCAAAAAATAAAACAAACAAAATGTCAACTACAGACAGCAGACGGATAGCTACATAAACTTTAACGTTCTGGATTTGTTCTGCTTGACATTTAGAACAGTCCAATTGAAGTTCAATGGGTTTCAGTGTCAATATAAATATAATGAAATGTCAATGGTATAGTATCTGGTCATAAAGGCTTAGTAGACCGCCTATTGTAGGCCGCCTATACTCGTAGCAATGGCTAGTCATTCTCTTGTTTCATCACGTTAATCATGTTCATAATCTGTATCAGACTAACTGATCAAAAAATAGGAAATTAGCTGAATTTTATGCCAGAACATATTGTACGAAGTCTCTATAAAGCGGCCAACAGACTATAGGAGAATATTGATTATCGAGGTTTTGTGAGCAAACTGAATAATTTCAAACATGAAATAATTTGATGCCCATTAAAGCAGGGTCAAAAGTCAGAAGCAGATATCATCCCTTAACAAATGTATATTCATTTGACAACCGTATATCTATTTACATTTATCAAATATCTATCATTTGGAGCCAAAAAGTTGTGAAATATCTGCAACCGTAACTTACCAGAAGTAGTTGACAGCTACACAATAGTATATGATCAAGCCAATGGAGAGAAGGATCGTGAGAACCACGTATGGCATAGCAACTGGCTCTTGTTCCTGAAGTTAATATAAATCATAAAACATTTTTATTGACCAATCTCTCACTTTGTTTGGTAATAACATGATCGTTTTCTTTTTCTATGATAATGTGCAAGACATATCAAGTTTTTTTATGGATAGTGTACAAGTTATTCGTAGAAAAAAAAATAGTGTTTAACAGGAAGGTCCAAAAATTTTGATTTTTGTTGTTTTTTTTTTTGTTTTTTTTTAAAATGTAATTTCTTTTTAAATTGTCAATTTTGTTATTATGAATATAATGATTATTGGGTTTGTTTTAAATGATGTATACTGGTGTGAGAGAATCAAAATCATATTTGAGCATTATTAGCCCTTTTACTGCCGAAGCTATATGTTTACCAATTCCATGTAAAAATCAACTAATAGGATACATGTGTACTTATTTCTTTACATTTTTTGTATACGAAACTTAAAACAGAGAGAAATAAAGAATCACTAAAGAACGCACAAAATGACACAACTGAAAATGTTGCAATCTCTGTTTGATTGAGCATGTTCAAATTATGGAGCGGTAGACAGAGTTGTCAATGAATTTATATATTTGTAAATCAAATTTACGAAACTTTCAATAAATCAAATAAATCTGTCCTGATACCTGTCTATTGTAAGCAAATAAATGATAATGCAAGTCAAATCAAAATCCATTTATTTCACTTATAAGTGGGTCGATTTATACCCGTCTTGTAGGCGGCAAAAGGGGTATTGACTACAACAGATTTATCACAGGCCGGAAAAGCACAGCTGTGATAATTTTCTATTTCTGGTCAAAGTGCCAATTTGAATTAAAATATACAGATACGAGCGAGTGTTTCAATAAGCTTATAGCTTCTAACACAATCGAACTAAAATAAATTAATATAAACCAAATACAATATAAATAGTTCTCTAAGTTTAAAACATGTGAATATACTTAGTTTAAAAACCTGTACAATAAACTTATCTCCACTTGTTGTTTTTATTTACATACTTTTATTTTTTGTAAATATATTGAGGACAATGTGTTAAAAAATGGGGTGCGAATGATTATCAAAGGTTATCATTTATCAAAACAGACTTAGAACCAATCGGAACGCCCTCAGCTATTATCTATAATATCCAAAGTCTTACAGAAAGGGCCGAAAAGTTGCGATTGGTTAGAACTGCGCTACCTTCACCAGAGTAGGGTAAAATAAGTGAGTAGGGTAAAAATAAGTATCTCTCTCCATAATAAATGAATAATAACGAATATGTTGATTTAAAGTAGAGATTAAATGTATTTGTTCACCCTCAAACCAAACTGGCTAGAGATTGGCAATGTGTGTGGTTCCCTTTTTCTATTTCCATTATTTTACAACAACCATCTGTACCCAATAACATGGGTGCTAGTTTAAAATATCAGAAAACCTGAAAACTCAGTGCTATTTCAATTGGTTTTATATAGAAATAGAGAGCTTTCAGGATTAAAAAAAAATCTGAAAACTTGTACCCATGCAATAATAACATTCAGATTACACAGGATTGTCACATTAGATGATGTTCTTGCAAAGGATACCAACGGCAGCATAAGGCATAACAAGGTCTGGATATAGAAACAAATTCACTTCTCAAAGAATATATAAATGCGTTTCAACCATTCGAAGGAAGAATCGGTCAGTTATATAGACATCAAAGTCTACCTTGAATAGACAAATGTCAAAGTACTGCCTGCTTCTATACTGTATCATTCTGTTAGCTTATATGTTAAACAAGCCACATTATACTTGCATCAAACTCAACATCATCGGAACCCACGGTACACAATCCGTATATACTATTTACCGATACGGGTAAATAGCCTGGGTCATCGATGTTGCAAACTCAGCAAAAAAAAAAAAAAACAACAACAAAAAAAACAACATAAAACCATCCTCAAGTAGCTGCAAATTAAATCTTAGACCTCTTGTATATCACTCTGATGTTCAACTATTTTGTAATCACTGTAATGTTTTTCAAACATTGTAATATTTTTGGTTAAGACAGGGCAAGTATTAATGTCCGTACAACAGCTATTACCTTGTAAGACATTGTACCGTTTTCTCGAGCATGTGCAGTCTACGTAGGGAAAAAACACAACAAAACTATTGTACTTCACAGAAGACAGACAGGTAGACATTCAAAGAAATTCAGCATCAGTCCATGGCTCAAGACATTAAATTTTTATTGACATATCATTTATCAAAACAGAACAGAACTGAACACAACTTGTAACATGTAACTAGAGTAAATAAAATGTTATTCTGTTCTGATAAAAACAAATAATGAAGGAACAAAATAAAATGCTTTATGGTGTTGTGACAAATGCTGTCTTAAAAAAGAAGTGGAATTAATATGCAAGTTTTTTTTTTAAAAATTTGTCAAACTTGATATCTCGTCGGACGTACTACATTTGTATATCAAACTATTAAGATACTCTTCGTAAAATCTTGATGAACGCTGGCTTACATTAATGTGATACTCATTAAAGATCCCAAAAAGTGTATTTTCATTTATTTTTCTGAACCGTTCTGTATATTGAGAAAGATATGCCCGAGTAACGTTATTCTAGCACGTTTAAATGTTGCATTTAAAACAGAGAAAATAAGACCCCCTTAAGAAAGTCCAAAATGGCAAAGTTGCTGATGAAAGTCATAACCGAGTGCAATTTATTATAAATGTAAATTTTTCAGGAATTCTAAAACTATTTTTTTTCTCCTCATCTTTGCATCACCGTTAATTCCAAAACCTATAAAAAATGTTTGTATAAATTAGATCAGACTACTAAATATATAAGATGTTTAAATCTTTATTAAATTTATTTGTCCACCGTTATACTGATTTGGGGATTGTTTTGTTGTTGTTGTATTTTCCCCTATGAAAACGCGCATGCTTTAATTTGAATATTTATCGCATCGCTATGGATGCCATATTGTAACAAAAGATCTATATGATTTTATATATAATAATAAATAAATAAAATTAACACAACTCATGTAGGGTTACCATCTATTTATTTCAAATCTTGTAAAACAAGAGGGCCATGATGGCCCTGAAGTCGCTCACCTGTATATAGGCCCCCAGAGCAGGGCCAGTTTAAACCCCAGGGCTTTTATTTGAACCAACTGGTAGACACCCATTAGAAGATATTTCATGCTAAATATCTAAGGTCTAGCTCGTTGAATTTTTAAAAAAAAGATTTTTTAAGTTTTAACTATACACATATAGTTAAAAGCAATGACACCCCTAGGGCCGGGCCAGTTTTGACCCCAGGGCTTTTATTTGAACAAACTTTGAAGACACTCACTAGAAGAGGTTTCATGCTTGATATCTAAACTCTAGCTATTTGGGATTTTTTTAAAGAAGATTTTAAAGTTTTTGCTATACACAAATAAGGAAAATCAATGTCCCCCGGGGCGGGGCCAATTTTGACCCTAGGTATTTTATTTGAACAAACTTGATAGACACTCATTAGAACATGTTTCATACTAAATATCTAAGCTCTAGCTATTTGGGTTCTTTAAAAGAAGATTTTATAAGTTTTTAAAATATGCATATAGGGAAAATCAATGACCCCCTGGGGCGGGGCCAATTTTGACCCCAGGGCTTTTATTTGAACAAACTTGATAGACACTCACTAGAAGATGTTTCGTGCCAAATATCTAAGCTCTACCTCTTTGCGTTTTTTAAAAGAAGATATTTTAAGTTTTTCTATCGGTTGCCATGGCAACCAGAGTTCTGCATGGAATTAAATTCTTTGAACAATTTTTAAAGGTGACCACTAAAGGAACATTCCTGTGAAGTTTAGTTGAAATTGGCTCAGCAGTTTATGAGGAGATGTCATTTAAAGTAAAAGTTTACGGACGGACGACGGACGGACGAAAAGCGATCACAAAAGCTCACCCTGTCACTTTGTGACAGGTGAGCTAAAAATATAAAAATTTACAATCTATAATATATTTCAAATTTTGTAAAAAAAACATAACATAATATTTCAATGTACAAAAAGTTTATATCACATATTATATTCCCCGAGAAATTACAAAATAAATCTTACATAAAATTCTTCATCCATAAGTTAAATAACATCCACACAGATTACACATGTAAATTAGCTTTAAAGGGACTCCACTGAAGTTTTAATGACATACTAGTAACTGAACTGAAAAAATACTTTTTCGACATCAATATTCCATTTGATGTAGGTTTAGACCAATAACTTGTATGCATAATTCCAGATCATTTGTTCACTTTGTTTTTTCTGAATAATCATTCAAATTGTCAAAAATTACTCAAAATTGAAAAGCGTTGAAACACTTTGAAAGGGATAAAGTACTGTATAAAGAATATGATTCTCAATATATTTCTTATTATCTTTTGCATACCTTTCCGTTTTAAAGAGTCCCAGCTGATCTATGTAAGAAATTCAAGTTTAATGTTTTAAGGCTTTTAAACCTCAGTGGAGTTCCTTTAAAAATAATTTAATCAATCTCAGTACATTTACACCAATTTTTAATGATTTTGTTCTGTTACATCATCAACTGTTGATTTGTACCTTTTTATAAAACTGACTGAATTTGAATGTCTACGAAACACTGAATAATAATTTACTGTAGATCACACTTTAAGATTTCAAGATTTATTTTCAATATATGCAAAAGTCCCACGATAGTGTCATCTGGTTGAAGTGGTAACTGATTTAACCCTTGTTTCAAGCCCTGCTTTCACATTATTTCACATTTGAAATGTCCTTCCTTCTAGTTGATGCCTTAGTTTGGATGACACTTGCAGTTTGGATGACTTTTGCTTTTTTCCTCGTGTAATGCTTCGGCTTAGAGACATTACTAGTACGTAACCCACCAGGAGACAAAGGCTGTCTGTAAAATTCATCATGGTCTGAAGCATAAAAATCTGAGCCCATGCCGATGCTGAAAATAATTTACAATTATGTATAAAATGAACCAGCTTGAAATTGATATATTCATGTA